TAGCAGAGTTGTGCCCTCCCATGTACATTGACATTCCCTGAAACGACTGTTATTCTAACAAAGCCTGGGGCTGAGTTTTGCCCTGCTCTGGAAAGTTAGTTTTTAAGCTTAATAAACTTCAAAGGACTAAAGTAACTGATAAATTACATCCTTAAACAATCTGAACAAAATGCTGCACTGTGGAAACTTCACAGTTGTCATGCAGGGCAGCATTGCTCAAGCTGGATGCTCACGCTGGCCACATCCAAATTGAGGACTGCTTTCTTCTCTCATGCAAGTCCCTCCCAGTCACCTCAGTGCCATTGAGCTTCCCGAGAAGCCAGGAAAGGGCAGTGCTTAGCAATGCTTTGCTTATGGTTGCTGTTCCTGCCAAAAATGCCTGCGTTGGTTGCTTTTACACAGTGGTTTTCACTCTGAAAGGGCTCACATGTGCTCCCGGTTAGTAACATGTCCATGACCGTGGCACATGAGGAACAGAAAGGCAGATAACAAAAGGTATGAAAATGGGAAAATGGGAAAAAACTGCCTGGGAAGGGAATTTCCCATAAACATTCAGGAGCAAAGCGTTGGGTTTTTTTAAGGGCATGGAGCTATAGCGGCATAAGACAACTAAGACCCTGCAAAAGCTTTAACCAATGTCCCGAGCACTTTCATTTCACACTTTCGACGAATTCAGCTTCAGTTTCCTGACCTAAGTTGACCCACTCCGGTAGAAAACATACAAAGAACCTTTGCTGCTTTAGTTCTCCAATTTGTTTTTCCCTACTCCTACCAGTACATACATCCCTCCCAGTGCCTGCCACATTTCTAAAAGTGCAGGATGCTCCAGGCTCACCCATTAATCAAGGCAATGGCACAGGCCAGTCTCACCTCTGACAGTTTCCCATTACAATGCTGGCCTTAGTTTTAAAGTGATCTTCTGGTTTGCAGACCCCTCCCACAATTTGCTCCAACCTACAGCTTCACAATCCTAGAGCTGGGCCCATTGGAAGCCAGGAGCTTTGAAAACCTCCGTGACATCTTTCCTGATCAGCAGAATTTGGAGTTAAGCAAGAGACTGGTTCTGCCCAGGGACCTGACAGCAGATCTGATCTGGTTCCTATAAGTACAGTATTAGGCAGTGACTAGTACTCAAGAACAACCAAATAAAAGCAATGACCTTATCTATTAAAGTAGAGGCCTGTTTATACACATGTTTTTAATGGTGTCTTCTGCTTTGAGAAATCTTAAGGTCTCCTGCACTGCAATCCCAGCTCCCAGCTCCCTTCCTCATGAAAAGGCCTCATGCTTATTTCCTGCTGCAAATCTAATGGCAGATTTTCTGGTATTGGTATGTGATGTTCACAATGCTCTTCAAAACACAGCTCTAGGTATTAGCTCTGTATGAAACAAACCCAGGTAGCTTTGCATTCCACTGATATATCACTTTCTTCGGGCCTGCCCAGACGCAGGACCGCTGTATGTGTCAGTCATTAATTTTTAAAAACCAAAGCATTTTATTGTTGCTTCCAGGAGGCAGCAGCTAAAAGGGATCCCACCGACCTTCGGCAAAATTCAAGCTGCTACACACCGAAGGTTAAGCTCCACCAATTTTCTTTTTACCCTTATATCTTTCCAATGCACTCTCCTATTATTAGTAACAAAGATGTTCATTTCATGTATCTTTGTTTAAGAGAAACATGATCCAACAATTCCAAAGAGACAGCTTCATCTGTTAAAGACTTAAACCAATTTGTACAGGTTGGTTTTTTTATTAAGCCTGTATTATGGCCAACAAGAAGTACATGGGAGTGTGGTATTACAGAGTTATAGATGACAACTAACTAAGAATTAGTAGTCAAACAGTTAATGGACAGATAAGAAATGACCCTCACAAGTACTCTAACTGGAGAGCCCTTAAATACGACATATGACACACAACCATGACTTGACACTACTAGATATCCCGTATGTATACGCTGTACGTACAGGTAATACTCTGTGTCAAGCCTCACTGGATCCATTCCAGCCCCTGATACATGACAATAAAGGAAAGTCAGAGAGATGGCTAAGAAAGTTGTTCTCTGCACCTCAAATCCAATCCCTGGCTGTTCTCATTCACTTTTAGATCCTTACGCGACAGGAATAGACTCAGAGGCCTTGCACTGTTCTGTGAATCTGGGCAGAAGCTGGAAAACACCATATGTAATCTCTGCTTGTTTCTCGAAGATGTTTTTAAAGCCCCGTTGAAGCATCTGTACATGGACAAGGTGGACAGGGCAGGGGATGAAATTGAAAATGGCCTGACTATCACTGTTCTGCCAAACACAAGGATGTAAAGTGGGAAACTTTCTACACTTACTAGTAAAAAACTAGTCACCTGACCACTCTCAGTTCCCATATGTGATTTTAACCAATCTTTTATTTGTTTCCTGTCATGGCTGAAGCCAAATATCTACTTTTAAATATTCTTTTTTTTACAATACTTCCAAGAGAAAAGACCCATTTCCTTCTCAGTGCACAAACCAGAAACTTGTGAAATTTTAAAACAAGTTAGAGATGATTAAGCCCTTATAATGGACAAATGACTCGTTCAAGTCAGATGGAAGGGTCCATATAGATAAATGTGTATTAAACAGGGTAGGTTCGAGAAAGCCTTTACTATGCATGTGACTTCTCATCATCAATAGATATTGGCATTATGCGAGTGGTGAATTCTGGTTGTTACTGAATCACAGCACTCACTCAAGATTCCTACATCTAAGCAGACCTGCCTAAGATCCTGGAACTGATACTGAGGTCCATGTCACCCCAGTCATCCACTGCCTTGCTGAAAAGTGAAACACAAATCAAACACAAAAGCCTCTCAGCAATGCTTGCCATGATAAAATATACACAAACAAATGCAGCTTGGCAAACTCAATGAATATCAACTGGCCATAAAATAATAAAAATCAGGGCGTGCACAGGTCAAAGTATTGCAACAGCTATTGGCTTAACATTCAGGGAAGGTAAAGCAAAGGCAGATCCATATTGGGGACGAGACTGTTAACAGAAGAGAAATGAGGTCAGGAAACCTCATGCTCCATGTACAACTTAAATTGCATCACAACGGTCCTCCCAGCTTCAGCTCTTCTGCAGAGAGCACAGATGCCGCTCACATCATAAAACCAGGATCAGGCCCAACACTTCAGCCAGAGTCACTCTCAAACCAAAGCTGGGCTCCCATGTATGTCAGAGTGTGAGCTATGCTTGCCTTGCCATTTACTGACCAGCAAGCAACTGCTTAGTTTCTTCTCTATGAAGAATAAGCACCATCGGTACATTTTCATCAAAGGTGACAAATGCCCCTAAACAACAGAGAACACCTGTTGCTGAGAAAAGGACAGGAGCTTTGAGACAAGGGTGGGCTGATGCTACTCTGGATGACATTCTCACGTATGTGATCCTTCCCTTCTGATCCTCTCACGTTTCTGCTACCATTGGTAGACCTGGCTCTGGCCTCGCGTTCACAAACTCACCATCCTATTCCTGCTCTGCCCCAGGCACAGAGGTTTGCCTTCTCCCGCATGTCTAAATCCACCCCTCTCCCTCTCATTCTGGCACTAAAACTCAGCTCTCTCCAGCAAGCCACCACTTTGGCATCCCTGCTTCTATCCTTGGTCCCTTCGAGCAGATCCGAAGCGTTGCTGTGAGAATCGCCTGCCTGCCTCCCTGAGCACGCTCCACACGCCACCCTCCTTTCGGTCTCCCCGCCCGCCTTCCCTTGTGCTCTGGATCAAGTTCAAGATTTTAGCCCTCATTTTCATTGCAGTTTACAACTCACGGCAATTACTGTTGGCTCATAATTGCTGTAACGATCTATCTGTGGTAGCTATTCATTCTTATATACCCATGAGCACACCTACGCACACCCCTGTACATAAGCATGGTATGTGCTGATTAATGAAAGGTATAGGAACAATAAAAGCCAAATCAAGCATATATTTTTGTTGAGAATGTTAGATTTCACGTTTCACAAAATCCTAGCCACACCCATGCTAATCAACCTGGGCTGCTGATTTACAGAACAATACGCTTTATGGTATGGAAGGAAAACAGTGAGTTTTATATTTTGGTTCAAATGACTTTCAGTTTCTTGATAGTGCATTTCTTCTTGTCATTTCTCTACAGCACAGATACGTCCCAGATTACTTCGTAAACAAAGCAAAAATAATTTCTTTCATCCAACTGCGGCAGGAACTGAACAACTTAATCTGATCATTGTGTGCAAAGAAAATATTTCCAATGACGACATCTTCCTATGTCAATTGGTTTTTATTACAGATGTCATCTCGATGTGCCATATTAATGCAGCTCTTTCTTCTCATTTCAAGATTTTAATCTAAGTTTGTTGCTCTAATATTTTATTGGTTCAAAATACATGCTGTAAAATCCATGGCCATCAAATTTTCCTGTGAGCTAAAAATAAACTGCTCTTGTCAGATATGGTTAGCTGATAAAAAGTGTCAGAGACTTTTCTGAATTACTTCGATAACTTCCTGTTTATGTGGTACTGACCCTTGTCTAATAAAGATCTTTTACACTTGGAATAAGAGAAGATACTGCAGCATACTATTCCTTAATGGACAATGCTGATTACTTTTGAAAGCCTTTAATACATTTCCCATATTAGACATGAACAGATGTCAGGGATGTTGCCAAGTGAAATTTCTTTTATGCAATCTTGGCTTGTTGTACAATAATAGCCCTTTCTCAACATGGGAAAAAATTACAGACCCAACTAATTTCCTTGACAGGGAAGAGTTACATATGTTTTCCACTTGTAGTTTTTACGACAAGTTTACAATTTTGCCAAACCTGGAACTAATTGGGACTTTTTCCAAAAATGGTCCAATAAACCCACAATGTGTACAGCTAGCCTAAAATGCAGCAAATGATTGTTTGCTTTTACATTTTTTTTTCTAACAGGGAAAAGTTAGATTGCACAATTATTTCATTTAAGTTACTTAAACACTTACTGTTTCATATCCTCCCAGTTTTTGAGCAGCTTGAAACATAGTCCAAAGGTTAACTGTTAGAGGGACAATAAGTATTTAGATAAGCATTGCATTAACCAACATATTTCAAAGAAATGTAAATTAAACAGTTTTTAAAAAAGAAAAATAGAGGAAAAAAGCTCACAGCCCCTGAAAAAGCTCCTGTGAAACATTTTCCAAAGAGGTATTTACATAATCTTTTTTTAGAGTAAATATTAGCCCATACTATATATATTTTTAATTACATGTAAGAGAACACACTTAGATTCCTTAACAGGACTGGAAAAATACACTGAGACAAAGGTAATAGGCTCATTTGACTTTGCTGATAAGAGGCACGATATGACGACTGTAGCGTGTTTCCATAACTTTGATAATAAAAATTACTCATTGGGAAGAAAGTTGCTTTTAATTATTTGTTTAATACTGATTTCATTAGCAAGCAAGCATGAGCCACACACTGGCTCACAGAGAAAGCCAATTGATTAAACAACAATATCCAATATTTACTGCAGCTCAGCTAATGGCCTCCATAATCAATAAACAATAAGCTGCGTTCTAACGGGTCCTGCGTGAATGAACCTGGGGGGAGCACAAATGAAAATTACCATAATAATTATGGTATGAATGGTTGTGCCTTGCCCACGGTTGTGGGGTGGGAGGAACAGAGGCAACGCAATTTAAAAGATGTGTTGGGAGATGCTTGTTAGTTCCTGCAGAACTCCCTCCGTCTCACGTGCTTTTCATCCTGGCCCACTGTCCCATGGGGCCACTGCTTGCTGCTGGTGTCTCACTTTATTTTATTTTAATTTTTATTTTATCTTAATTCCTAGAAGGAAAATTGATGTCTTAGCTCTATGAAAGGTGTACGCGCTATTCCACCAACAAACAGTGATTCCCCATAGACATATTACAAATATTTCAGGCCAGACTCAGCAATAGCGCTGTGGACCACGGAGGACGGGATCTCTTCCTCCACGGGGGGATGCTCTGTTGTAGTGTACATACTGCTTCTTCCCACCAACTAATTTATATTGGCAATGTTTGCACAAGCCTTGCTGGGCAAATAGAGAGCCCTGTCCTGCAAACATTTCTGCTCTTCTCAGCATACTTACTCTTGGCATTTAAGTATTTGCTGGATCAGGCCCCTAATTTATAATGAATGTCAGGCAACTTTCAGTGTATTTCAGCTAAATGTTAGCAGAGGGCCCTCTCCCCGGCAGGGAATTCTAGAAATACTACTTTAGCTTCTCTTTCAAGCCCACCCTGTCCCCATGCTTGAGGGAGTGCAGAATAAAATGGGGGAAAAAAAATCCTCTCTTCAACACAAAACGTTCTGAAAGCCTCATTGAACCTTGTGCTGTTTCAAAGCTATCAAGAGCTTTGCTTAGGCCTTGATTTAATCTGAATCAATGCATAATGCAACGAAGCTGTTCATAGTACATTAATTTTACTTCCATTTCAAGCAGCCAGTTTTCAGACAAACACTGTAATCATTCGGAGTTATATAAGTTTATAATGGCTGCTGGAGGCCTGTTGCAATCAGTGCCAATTGCTATTAGGTATGTAAATTGTTATGTAAAACATACAGGTTTGACATTCTTCATCAAAATAACACATGGTTTTAATCTGGGAGATAAATTAGAGTAAATAATATTTCAATCCATGGAGTTCTCCCTTTAAGGAAATAAAGTACCATTCAATCTGTAGATAAGGAGGAAAAATACCCCCATTTACAGCTTTTGTTGGAAAGTCTGAAAGATCTACATTGTGCTGCAATATTTATGTAAAATTTAGTTACAACTGTATCTTCTCCACCTACAATTGCTTTACAGATTGTGGCACTACAAACTGTACATGCCAAAGCAATTCTAAACATTGCATTCTGTATTAAACAGATACAGTCTGGTTTTATATTCTCCAAAGTCAGTAATTTATTAACTATAAACACATTCTGGGGCTTAAAAATATGATTCCTTTTGTGCCTTTCTTGACCACCTTTAAATATCTTCCTTTAATATTTGTCCTTTCATAAAGAACATCTGGGCACAATAAAGATGCGTCATATTATTAACTCAGAAGAAAGGCATTACAGACTCTGCAGATTTACAAAACAGAAAACTAGAGAGTTTTCAACATGACTATTTCTAGTCATAATCAGCGGATTTAAACCTATAAATATCCGGCAGCAACTACCCCAGAAGAAAGAGATGCAAATCTCGGCATAAGACAGTGAAATGCCTGGACTGGAAAATGTGTAGATATAAACACAGTCCCCCCATCCGTAAGGCTTTAAAATAGGCTTCGTGTGCAAATGCTTTCTCCAGAGAAGCCAAACCGTTCTAAAATGTCAACAAGAAAGTGAGAAAAAGGATACTTACTCTGCTTAAAACCTAAATAGGGTATTCGTTCAATTGGTGTTTTCCTTTCTTTCATATATTTATAAAGAGCCACAAGGAAAGCCTGCTCATCAGCTCTGCATTCTTCACCTACGGCAATCTTTGATTTATCCTCACTTGAGCCTTTTTTACAGTTGCTGTTGTTACTCTTGGGTTTGGGCAAAGCTGACTTAGCCTCACATTTTACCTGGGAAAAGAAAAGATGTCATATCAGATCTGGGTAACCTTTAATTTTCACTTAAGGAATAAATACCCTCTCCTAGCAGAATGGATTGTTGAAAAAATGAAGGCCAAACCATGCAACTGTGTTTGAGGGGAAACAAAGGAAGCTATTTATAGAGCTAAATGTCTTGTTCTGAATCTTAGTCACAATATTTTTAAATAGCCACATCTTTAAATCATTATAACCCATTGGTAATGCTCTCCAGATCTGCATTTTTATGACTATACATTGCTATGTCACAGACAGCTCCCATCTCTCACATACACTTGCCATTAGCAAGTCTAATAATAACCTTCGTTCCAGGATTGACACTGAGCATCGTCAACTCCCGCAGACAACCCTTGGAGCTGAGGGTGCTCAGCCCCTTCCAGGAACACTCAGCCGCCAGCTCTGAAATGATGCATTTTTCTCTCCTTTGGCCCACCAAAACAGATGAAAACCTTAGCAAGCCTTACCCAGGTGAGCTCTCAGCACACACGAGTGGAGGTTCTGCTGTAGCATGGACTTAAGTCAAGTGGGTTTGAGCATCTGCTTAAACTTAAGCACAGCCCTAAGTATTTAGCAGAAGGAAGAGGCTGGTAGCCGGAGCCTTTCCTGGTAGACACTGGCAGCCCCAATGCACACAAGTCCCAGAGCTCCAGGTCTCCCACTGGTCTCCCCAGCTGACATGTGCCAGTTAGGAAGTCAACAAATTGGAACCATGTTACCACTCATCAGTATTCAAACATGGGAAAAAATATCCAGTGAGACTGGCTTGATCCTGCAGTCCTGAAGATAATCCTCTCATTGAATCAAGCAAATTACAACTTGAGCATTCCCACAAGTTATGTATACAAAAACCAGAAGAGCAGAACCTTGCAAACTGATGTTTAGAAGCTCTCCATGACCAAGACGGGATCGACACATTTCCAGTGAAATACTGGAAGTCCTCTAATACAAAGTAGTGGAGATGGTTACATGTATTTTGCATTTGCACTGTCCCTTCAATGCTTTTGAGTGCTGTGAGGAGCCTTCTGGCAGCTCTATATCCCATTCAAGACACGTCCTTTGTGTTCCCAGAGGGAGCACGCAGACTGTAAAAGCCAGTATTTGGTATTTTAGGAGGACAGCAGAGGAGACCAGGGTATCTCGCTGAACAGTAAGGCAGGAGCTCTTGGTCAAGTAAGCCATTGACTCTCCTTCAATCTCCCCACTTCTAAACCAGGTGCTTCCTGGGTACTTGTTGACATTTTGGAAGCAAGTGCTATGAAGACCATTATGAAGAGAAAGTGCTTGTGAACAAACAACAAACATCTCACTGGGAAGACTATGATATGCTTATTTTATCTCAAGAACAGCTACCCTGTGTTCAGGTTCAGGGAAAGCAAAATCTTTTCTTTTATACTCCTCAAGGGTGTTAACTTTGCAGAAAGCACTGACTTAAGATTAGCTGCCTCCATAGTTTTCCACAGATGTTGGACAAAGCAACGCTAGCTCCTAACTAGGAGGAGAAGTGGCGACAATTTTCCAAGGTAATCAATGCTGCTGAAAAATCTCCCTGTTGGAGACTGCAGGGTACAGGCTGGCTCCTCCCAGGCAATGCAGCAGGGGCTGAGAAATGGACTTCCTATGGGATTTTTCTTGATCAGTTACTGCTGAAGTATGTCCACTGTACTGCTCGATATTCTCTGGTTGCATGGTTCAGAGAGATACTGTCTTCCCATGGCACAAGACACCATGCTTTGCCTTTTAGTAATAGATATGCTTGTTGATTAAACTTCTGTAAAGATCCTGGGTTTCATCCAACACTCAATGGAGCTAATGGGATTTTTTTCCTATTAAATGAACTTTGGATTTCCTCATCCACTTTTCAGTTCAGAGCTGTAATCCCTTGACTTTTTCACTTTGGCTCCTCGCAAAATTATTTAACAGCTTCCCCTTATAAAATTTAGATTACGTTGTCATAGTTTTCAATGCTATACCAAAGACTGGGTTAGCACTCCCAATACGAACCCATGGTTTCAATAAATTTAGGATTTTTAATTTGAGCTGCAAATTTGTTGCAAGCTAAAACTTGGAACAAATTCACTGGACCTGGGAACAATTTTTCAGCTTTGTCACCCACTTGCTAGGTAAAGTCAATCAATCAATCTTTTTAATGGATTTTCTTTTTCAAACTGGACAATTCAGAACTCTGTTTGCAAAGACAGCCTGGGCATGAATGGTAAATGAAATCAAAGCTCACTGCTACGCAAACAAACTAATGGCAAGGGATATTACTCCCAAGGAGACAAAAGGAAACAAAGAAAATAACATTAAAAAAGCTATCGGGAGTAAGAAAACCCTGTGTAACACACAACCTCCTTCTCTCCAGTGTACAGAGAAGTGAGGTCAAAGCACCTGTGGAACAAAAAGGTGCCAAAACGCAACGAATGGACTCCAAGCAGCGTCAGGTTCAACAAAGCTTTGACGAAGGCTGCAATGCTTCATCCGCTCAGTGTTCGAGGCACAAGCTTCACTTCTGGAACCTCCCCACTGTCTCACAGGAGATATGGATGAATGCCATGACCAATGATTAACGAGAACCAAAAGGGCCAAATACCTTTCTGGGTAACACCAGTGTAAATCCAGCATAAACATATCGAAGTCACTGAGAGTGATGCCAGATTTGCACCAGGCACTACAAACCGACCTCTCTGAAAACACAATTTTGAATCTTCCTAGAGGGCAAAGATCTGGAGGAAAGTCCTGAACACGGAGTTTTGCTTGGCTCTGCTCTCTTTTCTGGTCTGCTCAGAAAGCCTGAATGACTCCATTATTAAGGGAGAGTTCACTTTCTGTAGGAAGAGTTAAAGCTCTCTCATTGTAGCCTTAATGTAACACCTCCAAAATGAAACTGAGGTCTAAGGCCCAGATGGGCAACTCAGCGCCGCAGCGTGAATAAGCTGGGGGTGTTCCGAGATGGGCTGTGGGAACATCTGACCACCTCCTCTGTGTGTTCCATCAGAGGCGTATGATCCATTACCAAATGGCTGGTGAACACTCGTGGGTACACCTGTGTGTTGTCTTCTCCTGCCAGAGGTCACACACAACAGAGACCGCTACAGACCTGCGTTTCAGAGTTTCAATCAGATAATGGCTGCGGTGCTCAGAATAAATCTCCGGGTCTGAGAGCATGCCAGGCCACCTGTGGCCACAGGAAAAGCATATCCTGGCAACTTTTAAACTAATTTCCCAGATCTTGCTGTACAAATGAAGTGAGAGATTTACTTTAGCATTTGCACTAGGAGATGTAATGAGTAGATTCATTTGGGGACAATTTCCATGTTTAACAAGTTAATCCTTTCAGCTTTTCGAAATGGTCAGATCAGCCGGTTTTAAAAAGTCTTACAGTGCATTTCTGTGCACTTTGAATTGGAATGCTCTTTGGGAGTGTGAAGCAGGTACGACGAGGGTCACGCTGGAGCCTGCAGGTCCCAAAAGCCTGTCCAGCACTGTTGACACGTGAAGTATGAAAGCCTCCAGAGTCCTGGGAGTATTTGGAGGGAAGAGCTTGATACATGTCTCTCCAGGAGAGCTGATCCTGCCCCAGGAGATGGCCTCATATTCTTGCCATTTTTACATGTCCAGCTTGGGAGGGAACTCCCCTGGGATCTTCCCCAGGAGGTACTTAAATGGATGCAGTGACCAGCAAGGAGATCAAAAGCAAGAAGTGCTACACGAAAAGACCCACTTCTCCTGGCAGCATCTGCAGGTCCAGGACCACATTGTCTGTCCTGCTATCGCTCATTTTTAACAAGCCACCTACACTGGAATTTACTCAGAGCTGCTCCTATCCAACCAAACGCTCTTCTGTGTCAGGTCATATTAGAAGCCTACAAAACGATCTGCTGATGGTTCAAGGTAAACATGCCTAATGAGAACTAAGTTGTAAGAAGGTACAAAGCTTTCCAGTCATTGGCAGCTGAGAGCGTGAAATTCAGCAAGTCATTACAACCACGTGGCTTGTGTTGGTCTTGACAGACTCAAAACCACAGTCTTCAGAATGCCACTTCTGCCATTTCCCGACCCAAACTGTAGAGCCACTGCGTCTCCGTCAGAGCCATCGCCCCGCCACCTGAGAAATGAGGCTGCTGTCAGACACTGGGTGCCACGATCTGAGGATGAAAGCACCACAACTTCTGGTCAAAAGGGAGTTTAGCTGGAACAGGAATACAGCCAGGACCGCTGCCAAAATGTTTCAGCATCTGACACAAGTGGATTTGTCCCATTTACACTAGCAGTGTTCAACTCCCATGGACCCACTGTCAGCATTAGTCGGAGATGGAACACGGACAGAGAAGGAAAACCAATGGTGAAGCCCAACGTGGAGCCTAAGATGATGACTTAACCTCCCAACTGTTCCCAAGAATGAGAAGACAGTAGGTGGATCTCCATTCCTCTCCGTTCTCCAAATACACTTCCCCTCCTTCCCTAGAAACCCATAGGCAGGGTCTGTATAAAGTGCAATACATCTGCTGTAGAGGGTTTCTGATTCACTGTCCCTCTTATTAAAGTACATCCACAGCCCTGAGACACAGATTGATGTGAAGAGCCACAGTGAAGTGAGTGTGACTACATGCAAGGACATTATATCATGAGCACGTCTATTATTTATAATGAAATTAAGCTGGCCAAGATAATTAATGCTATTAATATCTGCACAATGATGAGCACAGTATGACTAGATAAATAGGCAGAATTACTTCTTATCTGAAATATCCTCCCATTTGACTAGTAGTAGGGTGAACCCAAATATAAACAGAGAGGATAAACAATTTGGTATGAAGTGTTACTGTTGTTTTTAATTATCTAATACCTATATATTAGGTGCTGAAGAGGCAGAACTACTCGTGCTACAGTCCGGGGTGCTTTGGCAACACAGTCCATGCCGCAGTTTGCTGGTAATATTTTAACATGAAAAACAGCTTGGGGGAAGGGGGAATTGAGGCAAATTGAGACATTTTCACACCGTGGATTTTGCACATTCCTCCACAGAGCAAAAACATTCAGGCAAACTCTATAGTATCTGGCAGAACCCCGCAACTCAACACACCAGGCTCCATCGCCTTTTACCATGCCTGTCTAATACGATAGTACAGACTCCAATTGAGCACAATAGGGCACAAAAAGAAGAGAAACAGTGACTTAAGGGCAGAGCTTCATCGGGAACTTCAGCCTCTTTTATCGTCATCAACAGAAGGCACAATTTTAACTGAACTCCTAGGGAGGAGGAGGAGGTGGAATTTAATTTGCCTTCCTATGAGAAACTGAGAGCAGAACACTTCCACTTGACCCCTTTAACCTCCTAATCTCCTGGGACATTCGCTGCATACAACAGTACCAACGTAAATGGATCTATAGATTCACTGTATTTCCTAAAGAGATGGTCACAACAATGGAAGCGTTTTTCAGATACACATCCGTCTAATTTATTGAAACAATGGATTTGGGAGGAGTTGGCCTAAAAATTCAGTCTATGCAAACCTGTTTAGCTGTTTAGCTCAAAAGTATCACAGTGACAAAGTTCTGCCTCAGATAAAAATCTGCAAGTATTGCTCTAAGTAATTTTCCGTCTTTGCATCTTACAGTTTCAAATTAAATCATCTTGAAAGGAGCCATTTGTGCTGCTATTTTTTTAAAGAGAAAACCAAATTCCTATTTAAAACCACACAGAAAACATAGAAAATAGGATGTAAATTACACTATAGAAACTCAATTTTTCAATATTTTAAGGAAAAGACACAAACCTATAAATATCTAAAAGATTAAGTCTACAAACACAAATCAGCGATCCAATTTTTACTTGCAGCATGGGCTAAGCACTGCAGCACATACAGAAGACTCTGTGAAAGCATGCACTATTCAACAAACCCTGGAACATGCAGCTCAGCACTAAGTATTAAAGAAACAGCCCAGACTTTTTTTTTAAGCTTTCGTACTGAATTTCTGCCTTTATCTTTTTTTTCTTTTTTTCTGATTTAAAAAAAGTCGAGATCTTAACATCAGGGTAATGTCGTTTGTGTGTGCTCCTTAGAAACCATTACTGAAGCAGCTCTTGTTTCACAGTCTGTTTATCTTCAAACTTATATTTAGAAGTACATTGTAACAGGGTGAGCTGCTCCCTGGTTTATTTTTAATTTGAAGATACTGTCACAAACTATGTTTGTGTGTCACAGAATGTGAAAACTAACACTAGATGCCAAGAAAGCTTAAGCACTACCAGTTACCAACAAGCTGATAGCATTAGGTTGTTAGGTGATTATAGTTGCTGGTAACTTTGAACACAGACAAAAATAAAACTATTGAAAAAAATTACATTTATCTCCCCAAGAAAATAAGTTACATTCTAAACTTGAAACAGCATGCTGGGAAACAAAGGCAGGGCTGTACCTAAAAAAGGAGCGTGTACTGAAAAGAGTATTATTAAGTGATTTACCTTGGCAACAGCTTTGCTTTCAGAATTATTGTTGGAATCCTTAATGCCATTTAATGAATCTCTTCTCTGTGGGCAAGGCTTCTTTTTGCGCGGTCTGCCTTTAAGATTTGGCGCTGAAAATTAATGGAGAACAATTTGAACACATTGTCTTATACTGGATTCTTAACAGCTGAAAGCATAATAAATAATTCCACTACAATCAGTCACAGAAACGTACACATCTGTCTACAGTAAATGCTTATTATGAGATTCCCATCCTCCATGGGTTACATCTTGACACACTATACGTTTCTATAGAATATCCCCCAAGGCTAATCTATTCTACTTTCACATAACTAATTAATATAAAGTCAAATACCAGTCTCTGAAGGGCTCGGAGAGAAAGCACAAATATTTCTCCATGGTACAAAAAAGAACAAAACAGAATATTAATAGGTAACTTTGCATTAATCAGCCTGCTGCATTTATTATTTCTAATCTTCAAGTAAGAGTACTAACTACTATTTCCAACTTTGGGAAACATCTGGTTTTGGAAATGTTCTGAAATATTCAAATTCCTTACAGCTCCAAGAAATGTTTATATATCCTGTCATTCTTGTCAAAGTTCTAAAAAAAGTTTTTTTTTAAAAAAAATTACCCCCGAGTCCTGAAATGGATCGAAAAACCCCTTAACAACTAGTTCTGGAAGTTGACAAGTACTGAAAGAAGTGACTGTTTCATAAGGGTTACATACCACACATATAAATTAACATGAATCACTTTCAGTTTTGTCCAATTCTTAAGATAAAACAGCTCTGAAATAACACAGTGACTAAATCCTAACCGTGCTGAGCCATACATAGAATGGGATATGGATCATCATAAAAAAATATCAGACTCATCTTTCAATAGTGGTATTACAATATAAGTTATGATCACATATAGAAATAATAGATGAAGGAGATGTTTGCTCATTATTACGTGTCCTGCCTGCTTTCGGATTTAAAAATCAGCCTTCAACTACTATGGCAACATTTAAAATGATAAACAATCATTAACTAATGACTGTACCGAAGAAGATAATTTCCTTTAAACCTTTAATTTCTAGGTAACCATTGTTTTCATTACTTAAAGGGATGACTAGAACAATGTCAGAAATCTAAACACCACAAACCTCTTGAGTGCCTTCTAATTGTTTCTAATCTTACATTTGTCACACAGTCAGCCAGTGGTTTCAGGACATTTTACATTTTAATTAGTTTGCAAACACAATAAAGGGTGCTAATTTGATTTTATAGTTTGAGTAGCACTGTCATATTTGGTCTGTTCAGAGAAAAAGAAAAGCCATGGGTTTAAAACCAAAAGTCCAAAAGACACATCCTTTTTCTTCCCCCAGCACTGGCACATGGTAAAAAATATATATATATATGTGCCTGTGCGTACGTGTGTAAGTCCATATTTGTGTCTATATAAAACTATGTTTATCTCCCTATAGCAATATCTCCATCTATCTCCAGTGAAGCACATTCTGCTTATTGAAAAGTACTGCAGAAAGCAATTCTGAAATTGTCATCTGAGGCTAACATGCAAAATCAAACAAAGAGAGAAAGAAATTATTACCCATTCCAGTCGACAAACATCTGCCTGATTTATATCTGTACTCATGAATGCTACAGCATGTGACTGCACACTACGTCGCTGGAAGTCTCGACTTGGTGTGGATGTCTGTCTTACACAAAATGAACACTAAGAGTATTTGCTCCGTGCTTACAAATCCCCTCCCCCAGCCGCTCCATTACTCATATAAACAGAGATGAGCGACTCGGCGGGAGCGTGGGATGAGCTCCGAGGACTCCAGCGCCGGCTGCCAGACTGCCAGCCCCGGCCACGCCGCCCTGCCTTATTTATAAACCCCGCTCATCCCTCCGCCTTTCACGCCTTCCTGATGCCTGCTTTGTTTTTGCACATGACCTGGATGGGGTGGACAGATCCTTGACCGTGGTGAGCCCCAGCAGTCACACCTTCTTTAAAAACGTGCTGAAGAAAATAGAAATGTTCCCTCGATTTACTACACCCTGGCACACACGTTAAAACGTTAACCTTTGAACGAATGGATCCCCCGACCCGGTCCAACCAACAGCTGGAGAGAGATGTGGTTCGGCTAGGATCAAACACACTTGCATGTGAATTACTTTTTCTTTCTTCCTTTTTTTTTAATAAATAACGAAACTAGTTCAAGGCTCAATGTTTTCCAAACATACTTGTTATCCTGAGTTTTGGCGCCGTACTTTGTATCACACTATAAAGCACTCCTAATGTTTTGCTAAAAGCTTTAAAAGCAAGAAGGCATTTGTTCCTGAATTCCAGGTATATTGAGCTTGCATATGAACACTGTTTGAATTGGAGCCTTCCACGGCAGAACTGGCACAAACCCACCCTGAAATGGGGTATTTGCATTCTCCCCATGGCTCAGGAGCTGCAGCCGGGAAGGTCTGTCGGCAGCGCACACGAGGAGCGTCCCACATGCGGCACTGTACGACTTTAAATCACTTTAAGCCGTTCCAGATCAGACGCACAATTAACAAGAAAGCAGCAATAAGAATTAATACCAGAAGAGAAGGCCCTTGCCTCTAGTATCTACTCCGTAAAAGAAAACATTTGAAACAGTTCCAGTCACACTTGAAACAAAGCCATTAACATTTGCTCCCTAAATCATTACAAACAAATGCATTATTCGAAGACTATTTATATTTCAGCTATATGCATTTTGTTCTCTTGAACTAGGAAATATGACTAGGACTGAAAGAATAATGTAGAAGTTGCATACTTGTTTTAATTTTGTTCATTTTTGTTTCATTTATGACAAATTCGTGAGCACACTGAAGATTTCTTGAATATGTTATTCCTAATTATTTTAAAGCACTTTTACAAACATGCTGTGGCTTAGTCCCAGTCACTTTTTCTGATGACATTGGATGTTCAGTAGGTACTGGACAGCTAAGTGAATATCCCATGTCCTTTTCTGCTTTCCGGTGGAGAAGGACTTCTGGCATGACTACCTGAGAATATCTGAAACAACTCAATTTCTTCACGATTGTGTATATGGCTTTCAAATTCATTTTCTGAAAGCATTTGTGGCAGCGACACCTGATAACTTGTACGCCTTCCCAGAAGGTGAGAACATAAGCAAAGCAAAGTAAAAAATTGAATAAATAAGTACAGAAAAAAGTTTGCATTTATTTGCCACCTCTTTAGTCTAACTGCCTGAAACAGGAGTATAAAAGATACGACATACTACCAGTTTAAATACTTTCTTTCCTGTGCATTTCATAACATGTTTGCTTTTGCCAATTTGTGGGTTTTTTCCCTTCCTTCCTTTCTGCTTGTTTCCTGATGGATCTGAAAGAGGGGAAAACTCAGCTACTGAAATGTCCACTGAGACCCTTGGTGGGCTGCTGGGAACTTTTTCTGCCTCTACTTAGGTGTGATTCAAAGGACCAATACTAGCACAGCACAGGTGCCTGCCACGCTGGAGGTTTGGGATGCAGACCTGAACACCCCCATGCCTGCAATCAGCCGGTGACAACGCCCTGGGAGAGCAGAGCTGCTGCTCTTCAAGGCAGGCACGCACGGCAGGGCTGTCAGCAGAGACGTACACCTCGTACAATACAAATGGCCCAAACCTCTGAGTTCAGACCTCTGGAAGCGAAAGGGCCTTCATCCACTTGAACCCCACACACGCCTGTGCCTTGCTGACTCAGGGAGCTTCTTCTTGAGATGACAGCTCATCCCAAGTTTGCTAGTCATCACCAAGGGCAAGTTCATGTAGACAATGGCAACGCACAAGAAATTATCGTCCCTGCACAATCTGTAGGTGCAACAGCAATCTGGAGCCCAGCAGGGAAAGCCACTTCACCAGCTGAGTCCTGGCAAACATTTTGTGTATGACCAGGTAAAACACAGCCAACTGCAAAACACACACAATACAAGCTAACGCTCCTCGTGTTAGGAGAGCAGGAGGAGTGCGTTCCCACCTTGGGCTGGTTATCTTTCCCATACGCGTCACCGTTGTGGCTGCTACCTTTACCCATCACCAGGAGTTCAGAGGCACCATTTCAGCACTCCTTGGATGCTAGTTTTATATCAGCATGTTGCTTCCTCGTTTCCCTGAGCAGCAGATCCAGCTGGTGTCATTTAAACAAACCTGTCCCTCAGAGGCCACCAACCCGGCTGGCTCCGCAATGCAACCGCCACCACTTGCAATGCTGCGTATGACTGCAGAGGATGCTGAGGCTGTAACATGGGGTTTCGCAAGGAATCAAGCAAGAATCCAAGATGAACGAAGATCTAATTCAAGCGCCAGCATTTGTAACCATAAAGAACAAAAGGTGCGATTATTAACCAGTATGCATGTGGTGTGGACTTTGTTTTTCAGCTGACTGCTTGGTGCTAAAAGTCTTGTGCTCCCGATTAAGTGAAAGCATGTGAAATGGATATGTCATGAGCATCAACAGTTACACAAGCCATGATGACAACCATATCGTAACAACTCTTCTCATTGTGGCGTATGTCTTATTGCCATCTTGGCTGTGAATTCTCAGGGAAAAGAAAATTATCTATAGGAATCTGCCCAGAGACAGGAATGTTTTCTTTCCCTCCATGTCTGAAAGGTTGGAGCCCTGGTGTTGCCTGGTCCCTGGGTGTTGTCTGGAAACAGGCAGTCACCGCAAATCACACAGAGATTGCTGCTTGCCGTTGGACATGAGGGATCAGTACTTCAGGATCAGTACTTCTCGGAAGACCATGAAACATTAAGTCGTGATTGAGCAGGACACAAGGAGACTGGGCAGAAGGAAAAAGAACAGAGAACAGCTTGTGCCTGTGCCCATGGAGTGAGAGAGGGCGATGGGGAGCCAGAGAGGTCTCGTTTGGAATCACGCACTTCCCACACCTGCCTGGGCCATGGCCGGCCGCCCCACGCTGTGCCAGCCTCCGGCACAGGGGGCGCCCCCAGCCACAATCCTCCTGCTGAGCTGCTCCTTCCCCTGCACGTGGCTCTCTGGGGCAAGAGGGAGGGGAGGAGTAATGCCCTTGGCTTCTTCGGTTTGGGTAGGGAAAACAGCTTACGCTGGCCACAGGCTTGCTGAGCGCCTTCCCAACACCCCTTGGGCTGCCTAGAAACTCCTTCTCTACCTGCGGGAGAGCAAAAGGAGGAGCACACAGCCATGGTCTTTCTATGATTCTATGAAAGGGAAGGTGAGGTACAGAAGCTGCCACTGCCACCTCTGTGCAAATCCTCACTCACATGCACACCTGCCTTCAAAAAAACCAAAAGCATTTAGTTCCTGATGTAATGTAACTGCCCTCAGTAATCTGAAATGCAGATTTAATCACTCTTCTCTTCTTCCTAGACGGAAGCTTGCACCTTGCCTCCCCCTCCCCAAACTGTGGCTAAGCTCTGCAATGCCAAAACACCAGCCATGCCCTGCGTGTTTTAATTACAAATCGACACACCCGAGAGGTTAAATGCACACCTTGTGTTACGCATCGCACAGGGAGTTAGATTATCTGTAGATGTAGATTAGCACATCTTTGCTGACTAAAATGTACCCCAGGAAGAAGCTGACCTGGTGAGCTGCCTACGGACCACCATAATTGAACAAGGCCAACCCAGAGTCACCTGCAGCAGAGAATAAAAGACCAGGTGTCGGAGATAAGCTCGGTAGCAGGCTCTGACCCACAAAGCAAGAGAGCCATGCAGAAAAGAGAGGAGCTCTGTTTATGAAGCCACAAAACAGCATCATGGCTGAAAAATTACATCATCCCCTCTAGCACTCTCATCAGCCTGTGCAAGCATCAGGATATCGTAGGTAACCAGGAAAGGGCCAGAAGGTGAGGAAGGAGATGGCTACACTGCCACCCACTCAGAAAATTCGAACGGTTGTGGCCACTGCTCTCCTGCCACTACCACCCTCAGCTGCTCAACTTTCAGAGACACTGTCTGCTCAGCAGGACACAGGAAACAGGACCATTTCCATGTCCCGACGCCCTAGTACAACTCCCAGCTCTGGGTTAAACCCAAGAATGGCAAGTTCTATGCACGGGAAAGAGAAGTACCCAAGAATGGGAGCTGCTGAGGTCAGTCATGATTAAACACTACATATGGTGGAAAAGCGTAGGCCACCATAGGAAGACAGTACCTTCACCAGCCACCTTCTTTACCTGCATCCCCAGGAAGGGGAAGTGATCACTGGACTTACCATCTCTGTTACCAAGTCAGCCCACTTGACCCATGTCCATGCCGAGAATGCAATGTACTATGTACACACGGCCACCCCTAGATGCACAAATAAGTCAAGAGACAATGGCTGTGGTTTTGGGGTACCTAACTTTAGCAGGTTAGTTACAACAGAATTATCTCTTCTTTAGGAGTCTGATTACCTTTGGAAGTCCAATGAGTTCAGCTCTCCCCATAACACTGTTCTCTAGATGCACATATTTTGTCTGATGTAAAAGATGTGTTGTTATAGGGAGGGTGTTAAAAAAAAATAGTGGCCTTCACACGGCTGAGGTCAAGCTATGTTGGCACTTTGTCAAAATCAGTGGTGTAGCCAAGAGTTTTTAATGAGCCTGGAATGCATTACCTCATTTGTCATACCTGGATCACTTACTCATGCTGAGTCCAAAATAACCTTGGACCTTGTTGGCTGCTCAACAAACCATGTAAGTAAACAGTACTGTACTCATGCCTAAAACATGTACCTTTTTCTTGCTTGCTCCACATTACTTACTCTAGAGAACATCTAAGCAATTGTAATGCCCATGATCAAAGTTCTTGCCTTTTCCAGGCCTCTCTGATCTGCATAACTATTTCCTGATACGATTTTTGATTCTGGCTTGCTGGTACTCCAGTTTCTAAGAAACACTTCAAAAGTGGGAGAAAAAAGAAAAAAGGGAAAGAAAAGGGAAGGAAGGCCATTGCTGTATTTCGCTGAGAAATGTACTGGGATAGCTGCTCAGCATTGCTAATGCACTTACACTGCCAACCAGATTCTGGCTGCCTGTTGTTTTTGTGACCATGTTTCTGTCCTGTGGAAAGATGAAGGAAAAGGAAGGAACAGCAGCATTTTTGCCAACTGCAAGAGCATGACAACACAAAAAACCCAAGTGAACTTGTAAAAATGTCCGGGGCCATCAGCAAAGAAGGATCAGTGAAGATCTGGGTCTACATTTAGGGTGGGCTTACACAGTCAGGTGAGCTTGAAACATGAGAGGTGGGAGTACACCAGAGGGAGGTAATCACAAAGCTGGGATTAAGGTGGAGCACTGGAAGGTGCAAGAAGTTAGTAACACAGATGTACTGTGGTGCTGGGTTCAGAAGGGAAGTGTGCTCGCACACCTGCTGAATGCATCCACAGTCTCTCCTCCCTGTAGGACACCTCACAGAACACCTCTTCACAGAATCCTTTTGCACTGTGCCAGTCTGTCATACGTCTTCCAGTTTTCACAAACACACACAAAAACTGCGATACCAGAATGCTCGGCCCTAAGCTGCAGAACCGTCAGTATATACAGAACAGACTAGGAGACCTTCCCTCTTAGGCAGGTGGAAACGGCAGGATGTGTCGGATCACGGAGCTATTCATGATTCAGGTGCCAAACAGAAGCTGGAGGTGGCATACGGAGGTGCCTAGCCATCAAGGTCAAGGTAAGAAAAATGTTCCCAGATCTCCAGAAAATCCACGAACTGACCATGCCTGCTGGCAGGTGGCAAATAGCTGGTTGCTGAGGACACCCCTAAAGCAGCCTGGCAAAAGTTAGCTCTTGGCTGAAAAACATGCTTACATGTTGCACCTTTTAAAATGTAATGAATAGAAAGTTAACGGTTTTAATGGTTTTAACACTTACCCCTCTAGGGGGCTTCTGGCATTCTGCAATATCTGAAAGTTAAGAAAAGCATATTGCTATACTTAAGCACGGTCTCAAAAAAACTGTTCAAAGGTTAGTTAATCTCGCATAATATTCTGCAGTCCCAGATGCCTCCTTGATTTCCTCCTCACCTCCATCTCTTTGTTTTCTCTCCTTCACCTCATTCCCTTTTCTGCATCCTGAGTTCAGGATCTTACATTCCATTTATTTTCCTTTCACCCCTCAAAGTTTATTAAAAGCTTCTGCCTCCTGGAAACAGGGTCCGAGAAGGATGGTGTGGGGCATTTATCACCCAGGCACACTGAGCAGGGCTGGTGAAGAGAAGCAAGTTGCAACCAACCCAGTATTGCATCAAAGTGTCAGAAATTAAAGTGGCCAGAAAATAAAGCAAAAGATCAGACTACACTACGAAATACAGACCTTTGTTTGGGAAACAAGAGTATCAACTGAATTTGGGGAAACTCTCTACAGGATCCTAAGTACACCTATGGAAGTCAGTGGTGAGCACCTACCAACAACCAAAGCTCTCGCTGAGCTCTGGAGGTCACACAGCCTCTCCACAAACACATGCTTCTCGCCTACTCAAGCGGCACAGAAAAGAATTTGAATATTAAAACTATTTTTACTAGACTTTTTCCTCAATGCAAATACTTGTTTATTCCTTTCTTTATAACTGAACGTGCCAGACCAGACCGGGAAACTCCAGAGTACAGCAGCGAACAACCTTGCAGGGAACACTAAGGATCCATGCTGCTTTCTAACCCACACAGAGAAAGAGTGGGCTTGTGCAGCCATTTCTGAAAGTTTTGTTTTGGAAATGAGATATCCCACGCTCCATGTGGGGAAAATCAATTTGCTACCTCTCTAAAGAAAACATTCCTCATTTGGAAATAAGTGAAACAGACACTTCCTTGTGTGGATTAATGTGGAGACATATGACTTGCTGCAGACTGTTGTTTTGACCCCCCTCCTGACCAGACAATCTCTGAAAAAAGCAAAAAGGTGGTATTTTTCATGGATTACAGTTCAGACTAGCATTGCTTTTAATAGAAAAGTTAGAGGCATTGCAAATACCAGGTTGGCCAATTATGCCAAAAATTGAATGTTTTTCGTTTCCATGGAAGACGGGGACAGGATTCAGGACAAGGCTTGGAGTCTCGTTTTCTTCATTTCAGCATGGTTGGAAGTTAAAACTTTTGCTTGATCCAGGCTTCTTTATGTCCTGCTGACTAATCTGGGTTTTAAAAAAATGGAAAAGGTTTTGGGTTTTTTTTGACAAAATCCATCCATGTGTTTGAAATTATAAAGTGTGGTAAATTGAAAAGGGAAGCTGAAGACTTCAGAGAAAAATCTTAGCCTAACAAGTATGTGACATTCAAGTAGAACTTAGAGCAAATTAAAATAATAATAATAATAATAATAAAAAATCCAGTGTAGGCCTATTACTGGCTACAGATGACACGATTGTTATTAATGATTCGAAAGGAGGCAGAGGTGTTTGGTAAATATTTGTTCCGTATTTGCAAAGAAGCCAGATGATATGCTTGCAAAAGAATATAATTAAAGCCAGTCAATTGACTTGGTTTTACAGAAACCAGATCTTAAAACAACAAAGACAAAAACCAAACAAAGCACCTTATTTTATGCTTTGAAACTACAAGCTTGGTTAGAGAAAACTAGCTGCACGCGTGGGATTTACCTGCATTTCAGTAAGACAGCTGGTTTAATTCTAGATAACACTTTGATTAAAAAGCAGCACTACATGATTTTATTCAAACATGTATTAAATGGACTAAGAACTAGCTAAATGGTAGAGCTAAAAGCAGGCATCAGTGGGGAATTTCTATCAGATGAAAACACTGCTGGTGGGATTCCACAGGGGTTGCTCTTAGCCTTGCTAATATTCAACATTGTCATCGGCAAAATAAATCTAAGGTCCCTGACAGTAACATTCACACTGACACAAGGACTGGCACAACGCTAACACTGAGTCATACAAACGAGTAATCACGACCACGCAAGCTCTTCAGTACGGCTCCAGCGCGAAACCCGTGAGCAGGGACTGCTGGCCCCGCTGACCAAGCCAAGGGTGGCACTTCACAGGCTGCGCCCCACTGGAAATTCAACATACCCTGGTCGGAAGGTGCTGTGGCCGAAGAGAGGTCTGAATCACTCAAGCTGTGTTTGAGCAAAACTGGCTGAGAAGTGACTTCACCAGGTAATACGAGTGCCTCAAAGGTGAGAAAAAGCTGGGACTCAGAGGCGAGGAGGCATACCCAGGCATGCCTAGGCACTGCAGTCCACATCTATGATCTAATGCCAGGATACGGAGGCATGCGTACGACCAGCTTTCAGAAGACCTTTCAGGAAGAGCCTGAGCCAGACACAAGCACAGTGCAGGAAGAAATGCATGCAATTTGAGGGCCTTTGTCAAGATATCAGACTGGAGCTGGGCATCCTGCCTCAGCCACGGCGAGCGCCGGGCCCAGGCTGCTGCCGGGAGAGCCTCGCCACTGCGGGCGGCTGCAGCAGCCTGGCTGGCTGCACGGAGGAGGCGTCCAGCTGTCTGGCTGTGGTCCTTGCTCAAACAGCTGTTTCCCTTCTCCTTCAGAAAAAAGGTGGTGAACTGGATGAAAGCATTTGCCGGTAATTTTGGCCGATGAGCCACTACTTGGGGTTCATACCAGATTAGATGAGTCAGTGGTTCTTCTGGTGAGAAACCGCATGAGTATAGGCTCAAATAGAGTAAAGTACTGTGCTATGCAGGACAAGGAACATGAAGAGCTGTAGCCTTGATTCAGCAAAGTACATGCCTAACTCATAAAGACCTGGAGCATGCAAAGACCTCTGATGACCTCACTGGGGCAATTCATATTTTGAGGCTGAGCCTGCGTTAAGCATTGAACACGACCAAGCCAGCACGACTCTCTCTGTCACTAATGGGAAAGAAGCATTCAAGCCCTGAACAAAGAAATCGTCATATCTCATCACGAACCACCACGTGCTTGGGCAGCATCACAGGATCAGACACGGGTTCATCACGTTTCCCTTTCCCTCAGAAATCTGCAGTCAGTCTCCAGCCTCCAAGCCCTCCACCCCCAAAGGTCACCTCCTGGGAAGCAGCACCCGGTGGACAGGGGCTTCACTTTCTGTAGGAGGCTCACAGCAATACTCAAGAATACTCCGACTTCTCACAATAGTCTGGGTTAAAAAAAAAAAAAGAAAAAAGGAAAAAAGCAAATAGAGGAAGGAGTGAGCAGGCACAAATGGATTATGTAATAGCCAAGACAAAAGCAGCGCAAACACAGCAGCGAGAAGCAAAGATGCACAGCAAACCCACGCAAGTCGGCCTATCTCATCAAAACTCGGCAGAACACCCAAGGTAGACTTCCCATTAGAGGGCTTCAGAAAATAAAAGGCAAATAAGAACACGCAGCAAATCTTAAGGCGACTTTCCTAGCAATATTTCCTTTTCTCTCCAGTAAAAGCCAGCGTTTGTGAAATTGCTCTCTAGCAGAGTCAGCAGTACCCAGTGGAGACGTGACCTACATACCTCCAAAATACAACAGATACATAGCCAGTGATATCCACGTAGATAGGCAGATGAGATGGGCTAATTGACTGGTAAAGGATGGACGCTGTGTATGAATCTCAACAGGCAGAAATTCATGCAAGAAGCATAAAATGGACGGTTTCCTGACACCTTGCTTTTGGGAATGACAACAGCAGGTAGGAAGCTATGATGATCCAGTTGTGCACAATGTGAAAATGACAAAGATATTATTTAAATCTCTTGCATTTCTGATTTGTAACTGATTATTTAAGAAAGAAAAATTTCTTATTTTTTAGTGTAAGAATATTGTAATTTTGTGTCATTTTTTTTCTTTGCAACTGATCATTGCACTGCAAAGTCAGCAAAAATTTGTTAGGCATAACCAACCTGCACGAAGATATTAGTAAAGTGACAGGCAGAAACCAGAGAGTAAGCTCCCCCCTCAATGCCTACATTCAGCTGCCACCACCACGAGGACTACACCACGCGTTAGCTGGAGACAGGAGCGGCAGCAGTAGCCTAAGCCCTGCTCCCGTTCACATCTCTGGGTCATCACCAACTTCACCGGCAGCAGTCGGCAAGGGCCTTGCCAGGCACCCCGTCGCAGCGCACGCAGCTGTAAAGGGGTTCAGGAATAACGCTGCTTCCGCAGAGAGCCCTCGCACCCCTGGGGAGCGGCATGCACCCGACACGGCGCTTTAACGCTGGCGTGCGGAGGTGATGCTGCCCTGCGTTGCCGAGCAGAGGAGGGAATCTGCACTTTTTCACTGGTAAAATACAGCAGTGGTAACTCCAGTAGCTTTGTCAGGCTGTGTACGAGTAGAAACGGAATCTGTATAACCGCCAAAACACCTGAAAAGTGGTGGTTTCAAAGCCCCGATGGTAAGATCATGTGCCTAGGTTTAAACGAGTGGAAATCCTGTGAACTCGGTGCAATCGTCCCAAACATCAACACGAACAGAATTGCGCCCATCTCTGCGTTACAGCCCCAGTAAATCTCTAGCACGCGGAAAAATCCAAACGAAACCGAGCTGTATTCATTAATTTATCTGAGCAGGGTAGGGTTTAAGCTAAATATGAAGTCCGTTGTGCAATGTTTTTTCATAGTCAATACCGGTTCTTAGGAAATTATCTGAGTGAATTAAGTGGAGGGATTGTTAAACAATTTACACACTTCCTTGTGTTTCAGATGTCTAATTATAGCCATGTTTGTCTCTCCCCGCAGAACTGTTGTATACCACATGGTATGCATATTTCAGCATCCAGCATTATTAACTCATGACCGACTGTCAGTTGATCATTATCTAACACATGGGGTCTGCAAAAAAAGCCTTATTTGGGCAAAAGCAGGCTTCTGACCCGCTCCCGCTGTATTTTCCCCCAGAAGAACTTCAGTTGGATTACGATTTGCTGTCAATGGAAACTCAGAGGTTACACATCTGAAATCTGCAGACAGGAAAATAAATCCTGACCGGGTTTAAACACTTAGTTGATACTAAAACCATCTCCAGCTTGGTTAGTTTAAAGAAAACTCTCAGTTGCCCTCTAGTGTCACCCGGCTGCCATGCCAGGCAGCCCGCCCGCCGCTCGCTGCAGCCAAGGTCACAAAATTTAACCTGAATTCGTGCGATGAGATTTATTATATGTGTAATATTTCATATAAAAGGGCGAGGGGAGATGCTTTTCCCTCCTGGAAGTTTCAGGGCTTGGGCCCCTGGAAACCCAGAGCTTGCATAATGTTTACCACTGTAATTGTGGCGCATGACACACGGGTTTTATGAGCGAGAATCTCTGAAATCACTCTGCGCGCTGCACTCCATAAAGTTCATTCATAACTAAAAATAGACTAATGTACAAACTGATTTAGCATTATACTGAAGCTAAGGAACATAGGGAGTCTGCAGAATTCCCTAATATGGAAGAGAAGCTGAGTTTTCAAAAGCAGCAGTTTATTTGTTTCTGAAAATGGACAACATATGTAAAAGATTTAAAATACAGAACCAGGTGTATATATAGCATAGATCTTCATATGTGCCCATTTTCGTTCTATATAAAGACTTTATACAGCCTGAAACTATAAATTTAATAATAGATTACTAAATTAAGTCTGCACAATCACTTCATAAAAAAAAATCATTTCAATTTAAAATACAGCTGTAGGGGTTTGGACAATTTCCTGCATAATAGAGGCCCATCCCTGAAATGTAAATAACACTGGTATTAAAACAAGTCAATCAGGCACATCAGGAAAAAAAAAAAAAAGGTACACGAAAACATAAATGCATTTTCCAGCCTATCCTAAGTAAGGATGCCAAACCTTTATTTTATTCAAATGCTGCTTTGATAAATCACTACTGCTTCAGCTGGCTTTTTCTTTTTCTCTTTTTTTTTTTCCAAATGTCCTGTTTTTCCTAAGAGAAATCCAGGGCTGATTAAGTCTTAACATTTTGAATACACCAAACCGTCACAGGGTTTTGCAATAAGATTTATTCACTTCTTTCCTGTGTAGCATCAGCATTCTTAAAATACTGTTACTATAAAATTAAACAGTGTGCCCTTCAGAAACGCATGACATTGCCTGTTCTGTGTTTTTCAACTTCAATTGTGCAATTTGGAAATGCTCTTCTTTCTCAATGCCTTTTTCCCAAACAAATACCTTTGATAGTTATAAGATTACAAAAACAAGTTAGACACTTTTTTTTTTTTTTTTGAAACTTACAGGCCACCTGTAATATTACTGACAGATACACAGTAAAAATGACAAACATTACTTTATTTGGTATATATCCTAAGTTAATTATAAGGCTTTCTCTTCTTAATTTGACAAGACTGAAATATCACAAGAAGTACATATGGCAATTCAGAAAATATAATCAGGGAAAAGGCGAAATGAACATTTGAAAAGACAAATGATTTGCAAACGCAGATATTTGTAAGGCACCACCTGAATAGCATTTCCAGTTGCTCTCGCTCTCACAGCACAGCTCACAAGCACAGTAATTGCCCTTTCTACCCCAAAGCGTTGCTCCTGTTGCTGACAGAAGGTTTTCGCCTCCTGCCATCACCCAGTGATGCTGTGGGGCACTGTGAAGAGGAGACAGGGGGGCAGCCGGGCAAGGAAGCAGCACGGGAGGTGCCAGGACCCCCTGTCCAGGGACCCCGACCCAGTGGCTCCAGCCCCACGTGCCACCCCAGCACCCCCACTCTTCAGGGGAAGGCTGTCTCTCAGCTTCCACCCAAGCCAGGGCCCCAAAATACTGAAACTGCAACTGAAATAATAAAGGTGGCATGACAGTCCTATTTGACAGGGCTTGGTTAGGGCTATGCTATTTGCTCTACGCTCCTACTGACCGAGCCCTGGCTCTCAAGTCGCGGGAAGCTCGTAGGCTTTCCAAGCCCAGCTCCCAAGCCAGAGGGACGTAATAAACCCAGCAGTGGGGAGCAGGGGCCGGGGAGTGATTTTCCTACCCACCTGTAAAAGGCCACTGCAATAGGGACGCGACTGGTTGCCGAGCCCAGCGTCACCCGGCTGCGTGGGCGCCCACCTGCTCCCAGACCCGTATCTCGGGGGAAAGGTGGGACCCCGGCAAGCCACCGTCCCCCTTGCCTGCAGACCGGTCTCTTGGGCTGTGCCTTTCTTTAGTTCTGCACAATACCTGATGTTGTACTCTGTGGGATTAGGCTGCTGGAAGACTGTGGGAGGTTCAGAAAGCTCAAAAAAATTCTTTTCTCTGCCTCATGAAATACGCAGCAAGAATTTTATTGACTAATCCTGGTCAGTCCCCTCCTCCTGATAGCATCTGGAAGAGCTTTCAAATTGCATGGGAATCCTTACCCTCATTTCCAATAAAGGGATTGCTCCACTCCCAGATTCACCCACTCTGCCTGCTGCCGGATCTAGGTTTTTCCTAGAAGCCTCCCCGCCAGCCATGACCTGATGCTGCTTTGTTTAGGAAACCTGACAAAGTGACATGAGCAGCCAAGCCCTCTGTATATCTAATTTTAAACAGACAAAAGTAGCACCAAGACAAATTAGCACCTCTCCTGGATTTCCAAGTACACTATTAAGTAGACTTGGACTTCAACTAAGGTGAGTATGAAGATTCATTGTCCCAAGAGATAAATATTGACTGAGGAAAAGCAAAGGTCAAATTGGTCAATATTTACTCAAGAAACTCTAAATCTTGATGCAGTGTAATGTACACTCTGAATGTCTTCATGTGCTACCTCTGGAGATCTTTTCATTATGACTAAAGATTTCAAAAGTATAATCTTCTCCCCTCTAAAATTCATATTAAAAAAAAAAAAACCTCAGACACTCCTACTGCACACAGGAAGTTTTCTGTGCCAATGGCCTCAGCAAAAGGAGATGTGTTGATTTGCAAATCCTATCTGCCCAGTCTGCATGCCAAAACTCAGTAGCCCTGACCTCTGAAGACGTGAACAATAAAAACTTTCTGACTCATCACATGACAGTATTTCAGACTACCATGAACAGATTTCTTCTTTGGTAAGGATTAATGCACTCCCTTCTGCCTCCATCTCAAATATCTGTAAATTAAGGCTGAAATTTTATCTCAGGCTTCTATTTCACATAAGGAATTACTTTGAGACAATGTCAATCAAGAGCTTTGGGGGAGTTATAGTCCTATTATTTACTGTGGCAAGTATATTAGTCCTATTATTTATCTAAGGTTTCAAGCTTACTGCCTGATTTCTGAAGGTCTTCTACGGACTCTTCTTTCCACAGAACAGCACTGTTGAAAACAAAAATTCCAGGAAATTTATAAAGGCTGATATTTTCTGAAGATGCATGAAGAAGGAAGACACACGAATCCTCTGATGTTTCAATGAGGTTATTCCCCAAATCCCTCTTGGCACCTTCACACTCAATGACCAGGAAGGTCCCAACCCTCCTACTCCTCTGTTCATTCAAATGGTCTAGCATGGCGGGTGAACTCCTATTTCTGACCTTTTTCTTCACTAAACAGTCAAACACAGCACAGATTTGTTGCAATCACCATGGAGATCAGTTGGTTTCAAATTAGGCACAAACTGTTTGTTTCCTTTGCTATTTTTATTGTGTTTTGAGCCTATTATGCTCCTCCCACCCTGCCCTTTCTCTATCTTTACTGGCAAATGAGAAAATCTTGCTTTACTGGGAAGTCAAATCCTAGCCACAGCCTCTCCTGAACTCAGTGGGGAATGGCGGTGGTCCTCCCTTCTCAATTGCCTTCCCTTGCTGGTTGACAACCAAAAAGTCTAAACAAGGTCAGACTCCACAGACGAGATGACACAGAACATGCAAATGAAGTCCCTGTTAGCTGGAAGAAAAATGGGAGCCCTGCTTTATGCAATTTCACAGTTAGGCCTACTAGAGATGGAAGAATTAATTTACTCTCCACAAGAGGGAATAATAGGTAGGCTTCAGTCTTACATCTGCAACGGCATGAATGAACCACCAAGGGCTGCCACAAGAGAAATGGCATTATCCTGGCGTAACAAAGAGGGACCAGGATGGGGACGGGGATGGGACCGTACGGTGAAGGGGGGCAAAAGGAGAGCGCCTGGCTCAAGGAACTGAGGAACAGGAGGACTGAAGCAATGGGGAGTGGGGGAAGCCGGAGTTCTGGGCTGTTTGGATTACCCACAGAAAGCAAATAAATCCAGCACCATGAAGCCAGGTGCAAGTGTCACTCCTCCACTGGGCGACACCTGGGCTACTACAGCCAGAGGCTACTGGGCACCCTCTCACCGTGGAAAGGCTGTCCTGCACCACCGAAAGCATGGGGAAGTATTTGACTCCTAAAGACGTGAATTCTCTAACAGAAGTTCCTTTGGAGGTGCAGAAAAAGACACAAGGACCAATAGTGCTGAGTGTAGGTTTCCCACAGCCCAAGTCAATGGGCTCCCTGTGCCAAAAATGCAGCAGGCTGGGATCTGACAGTCCCAAAGATGCATATGCCAAATGCAAGTCTCTTTCCACAGTTCTGTGACAGGTACATCGCTTCCTTTAAAACAGCATCAAATCTCCACTAAAACATGCCCCTGCTTCTGGAATCATACACAATCCATAATGTGGAACTTAAGTTTAACTTCAAAGACCAATTAAAAAAAAAAAAAATCAATGAAGTGCTTTTATGAAACAGGAGATTGATCTGCTGCTTAAAACTTCCAGTAATGTAATATTTTAGAACTTTAATAAATAATGCTTTTATCTTGATTGCAAAATAATACCCTGCCATGAAAACGCAGAGCAGAGGTAGGAAACTGTTCAACAAGAATTAAAATGTCACACTTTGCACAGAACGGAGCATTACAATTATTGGTGAAACACATTTTTCAAACTTCTTAACACAAAATTAACAATTACATACCTCACTTAATTCTGTAAGTGCATATCTCTCAAAGTACCCATTAGCTAACCAGGCCTAGTTCAGTTTTAATATACATGCAGGCTTTGCAGCACAGAGGGGATGTAACTATGCGAGCGCTGGCACAGTAAACCCTGAAATGGCAAGTGCTATTAAATTGAGATGCAATCACGTTGAAAGGGAAACATTAACAAACAGCAGACAATTGAGAAGAAAATACAGGGCGCTTGTGTTCTAATACATGTGCTTCAAAACCTTATATAACTATTCATTGTCTAGTTCATCTGGCCAGGGGCCCAGTTTGCTCTATGCTATGCTATACTAATTTTATAATAATAAACTGTTACACAAGCTTTATGCAGTCATGCATATGAAGAGGTTGTGGAAGACATTACATTTGATTATCTTTCTAGCAAAGACACCATCTTGAAATTAAACATAGCCTGATAGAAGTATATATGAGTTTAAGAAAAAAAAAAGAAAAAGAAAACAAATGTGAGTATATCACTAAAAACAAAAAAAAGAAAAAAAAAATCCTTTCAAAAGGGCTCTTTTCCTCCTCCAAGTATCACCTTTACATTATACATGACAGATGAATACCACTAATCCCATAATACAATGCAAGAATCTGCATGTTCCTGGACTATGTTCGTTTGAAGACAATCAGTGATTTTTGGAAATGCATACTTTTTTCTTCTCTTTCCTTTTTTTTTTTTTAAATACACCTTCTTTTTGTAAAAACAAGGCAAAATGGTTTACAAAGCCAAAAGGAATGCGTCAAATAGCTGGGGTTTAAAAACCCTTTATGTTATTTGTTGCTTTAGCATGAACCAACATGAACCACTGAGATGCTTCAGCTAAGATTTATCTGTACCACAAAACATTTTGTAGGATAGCAGTTGGAAAACATGGGGATGAGAGAGACAGGGCACAAAAGCATATACAGTATGAACCAGATGCGATCCAGAAAAGTCATTTCATATTCCACATTTGTCTATGGAATTGTCTGAGAATTTTCTGCTGAACATTATTTCCAGGTTTATCACAGCGGTTCAAAACTGGCTATATTTAGTCACCAACCAGTGCCAGAAAGCACTACCAGACTATAGGATCATGGCATATTTTAAGTTTGATATCTCATCAACCATCAGGGCCAGAAATAAATGCTTTTTATAATCAGAAAGAGTGAAAGCCTCAGACCTCCAAGATACATAAGGGATTTTTTTCAGCTCTAAGTCACCAGATATCAACCTCAAAAATCACATTATTCTGAATACCATTGTGTGTCTGCTACTTCCCGACCACCTCCGACATATTTTGATTTCAACATTTTAACATCTAATCAAAAAAACCCCACTAAAGCTCGTGAACCAATGTTTTATGTGGGGCCCCTGAGGCACTTCCACATGCAAATACCACCACCACATACCAAAAGCAAAGAGTCAGCAGTCAAGTGGCGCTGAAGTCAATGGGTGTAGGAGCAAACCCCAAAAAGCTTTAATGCCAGATTCTGATCTAAATCACATCACTGTCAATCCCAAGTAATTGACTCCTGTGGATTTACATGAGTGGAAAGGAGATCATAATCTTGCTCTTAACCTTTACCTTTGAAGTAGAGATGGTCATAAATCCAATTTTTCTATCCGACAGGAAAATGTCAGAATTTCACCGTTTACTTCAAAAATTGGGGCAGGCAGTCAAAAAAGTTCTGAGCAACACTAATGGGCAACTATCAGGCTCTTTCATTTTCATGTGTCTAATGAAAAGAAATCAACTGAAAACACTTCTAGAGATCAAAACTCTTTTGTCTCAAATGGTTTTTACATTAAAGTGTGTCCCACTGAACTGTGGGTCCCAGGGCCCTGTGCTCCTGCGCTCCGCCGTGTCGAGCACTGAGTGCTGAGCGCCCTGAGCTGCTGCCATGGTACAACCACCGGGGAGACCGTGGAGCAGCACCAGACCGCATCTGGAGAAAGGGACGGGCACAGACGTGGCCACACTAGCACCGCCGTGGCAGAGTTGTCCCCAAGAGTATGTCAACCCAGCATGATAAAAGTTCAGTCCTTCCAACCCTAGGCCAAACATTTCATTTCCACCTTTCTGATGGGGGAAAAAAAAAGGCGGCGGGGGACAGAAGACCAAAATCCAAACAGACACATAGTGGCTGTGGGCTGATACTGCGGAAAAGATTTCCATTTCATTCAAATGGCGTCTTCCAGTGACCAAAAAAAGCATCAAGGACTTGAGTCAGAAGAGTGAGAAAACCTACTGTGAGGTAGAAGTTATGCCAAAATTAAAATGCAAAATGAGAAGAAGTGGGAACCAGGTGGCAATGCAAGAGAAGGGCTGGAGCCAAGCCCCACACAAGGCGTTTGTCTGGCACTTAGACCCATGCCTGGAAATCTCCACCGAAGGAAGTGGGAACTTCACCTGTTCTCTAGCTGCAGGTGGAATACAACACAAGGTGGCAAAACTTTCCTCAGCCATTAAGGAAATAATTTAACCACTGTTACATTGTTTTGGTCTAGGCTCCCAAAACTAAGAAAGCCCAACCAACTGCAACCTCCTGCAACTGCTTCTGGCCGCACACCTCGTCCCATCTCTGCGTCTGACTGATGTGCAAGTTGGAGCTCACATTTGCTGCTTCGGGATTGTCCAATTTTCATGGATATTCATGCTTAGACCCAAACAATCAGCACAGCCCTGGTGCCTTCTCCAGCTCACCTGAAATGGGAGCTGATGTTTCTGCTCATTCATCTCTGCTTCCTTTGCTCTCACGAATATGTCTGATGGTTGCTAGGCAACTATTGTTGAATACATGCATGAGGCATTAATTGTCTGAGCACTTTAAAAGAGGAAAATTCTTTAAAACTGAGGACATTGCCATACCAAAAATAGGATATTTCCTTTATGAAGGGCAACTTTCGTGGCTGGGAATGTTGATGGCTGCAGCATGTCAGAGGCTAGATGAGTCACTGAGATTACTCACATGCAGCGCAGCACCAAAGAAGTGTCTTAGGAGACCTGACTTTATTATGAAGTTTTATTTTAAATGAAGTGCTTCAGATCTAGTTTTATCTTCTGACTGCTGTCATTGGGATATCACGGTCCACATTTTCATGAAATTAATGGCGTTGGGTCCAGCCGCTGTTACAGTGTCAGAACTTACCGAGTGTATCAATTCATTACCTTCTAAACCCAAAATGCCACCAGCAAGTACTCCTCTTTGCTCCACTTCAAAGAGATACTGTAGGCTCACTGCTGATCCTAAGTGCTCTGTGCTCCTTACCCATAAATGTGGATTTCATTTTATAGGGTCTTTTTTTCCAAAATACATTCCAATGTCATGATCAAGCTCTAAAGACAGTAAACACAGACTTCCATAAATTGACTTAAACTTCTAAACTAAACAACTACAAGGATTTGCAGCTAGGTAATTTTTGGTTTTTTTTTGTTTTATAACAAACCCATCTCTACCATAACTAAACATTCACAATGTACATGTATTCATCTTAATTACAGGCTGCCTTTCAAAACAACCAACACCAAAAAAACCCTGAAGAACCATCATTTT